AAATTACAGCAACCCCAATTAGTCCCAAATGCATACCTTCTCAGTGTCTGCAGATATCAGAAAAATATCAGAGGACAGGTGCGAAGGGTCATTTGTTTATTGGTTTATCTGCTTATTCATTAATGAGTCTATTTCTTTACAAGTGAGATTATTGGGTTCTAGAACGTCACATCAGTTTCTTCCGGTCTGCTCATTGGCCCCTTCCCAGAGAGGCCTTTTGTGGTCACACCCCATAGAAAATTCTTGATGCCTGCTCCCCCACCCCAGCCCTTCACCCTGCTCTGCCCCACACCGTCCACGTGTTGGCCATCCCAGGAGTGTCCGCCCAGTGAGGCCGGGGGGCCGTCCGCCCCGCTCCACCTCCGCCTCATAACACATTGGGGCTGCCGTGTCTCCCGGGGCCAGCGTCCCACCGCCACGCCCTGTGTCCTAGGTGGCGGGGAGGAAAGTTCAAGGAGGTCGTGGAGGCCGAGTACGTCTTGCTGGAGGTGAACGGGCTCTTCACATACACGTACTCCCTGACGGCGGGCACCGCGTTCTGCACGGCCCAGCCACAGAACTGGACCACTATCTTGGAGCACGCCGGCGACAAGGGGCTCTTCGCCTGGGACCGAGAGGTAGCGTTTCCGCTCTGACCACTTCCCAAACGGCTCGAGGCGCTGGAAGATCCCGTGTCCGGCGGGAACCTGCTTCCTGCTTCACAGACTGGCTGTGTCCTCATGTGGCAGAAGCGGCAGGGAGCTCTCTGGGGTCCCTGTTATAAGGGCACGAATCCCGTTCATGGGGGCCCCACCCCCACGACCTCATCACCCCCAGAGGCCCCAACTCCTGACACCATCACCTCAGGGGTTAGGTTCCAACATCTGGATTGGGGGGGGACACCAACAGTCAGTCCACAGCACGGGGCGGGGGGCGGACACACCAGGACACCACGGGCATGGGGCCGAGTCTGGGACTGTTAAGGCGGGCAGGGCCTCTCGCAGCGTCTCCCCAGGGAACTGGCCACACGTCAGAGCTGCGGCCGCGGGCTCCCGGGGCATTGCTGACTGTGTGCAAAATTGTGGGACCACCCAATGCCGGTTCCTTGAGGGGCTGGTCAAACGCGCAGTCCCGGCTGCCCAGCGGGCATGTCCGCCCCGCGCGGGGGTCGGCACACGGTCGACAAGGGAGGGCGAGACGTCAGCAGAGGGAAGAGACCGCGCTGGTCCCCTCGGCGCCCAGGGGTGGCCGCTCAGGGCCCCTCGAGGCCCAGGGCGCCGATGCAGCACAAGGCAGCCCCCCCACCCCAGCCCCCTCCCACGCGGCCTCCCGGCTCCTTTTTTTTTGCATTTTCTTTCTTGGCCCCGGGCCGCCTCGCTCCATCCTCACACCGCCTTCCGTCGAGTCCATTCGATCCTGTATTTTTCGGGGGTGACGTTGCTTTTACTACTTTTTGGAAACCGAGGTGAAATTCGCATCGCCTCTAACGTGGACGAGTCACGCGCATCCACGAGCTTGCACGAGGCGCGGGGGGAGGAGGGCAGGAGCCGGTTGAGCGCCCCTGGCCCGCCCACCCCCAGGGCACACAAGGTCGCCTCTGTGTCCCCCAAGAACTACGTGAGCTGCCACACTGACGACAACAAAGCCCCCTTGAGGTGGCCAGACGTCCCGTACCAGATCCTGGGGGGGCCGACGGACAACAAGGTTGTTTTCGACCAAAGGAACGGAATGTACATTTTCTTCCTCTCTATCGTGGACCCTCACTACAGGTGAGCCGGCCGCACTGCCCCCGGGCCTCTGCGGGGCGGCCGGGTCACCTGGGGCACGTGGCAGGTCCTGGATAAACCCGAATTCCCCCAACAGCCCAGTGGATGCCATTTGCTCCCCTCCGTTGCCCCCCACAGCTGGTTGTTAAATGCTCACGCCACGTGTGTTGAGAGTTTTCTGATGTCACGTCCAGGATGATCAGTGTCCCCCACTGGGGACGTTTCCCCCATCATCTATGCCCTCCACTCAGATACAGACTCTACCCCTAGAAGCACGGGGGTCCTGCCTTCCCTGGGGCTCCCAGACCCTGAACTGGGGGTGCCGGCTCTGGGCTGACCTCGGGCAGAGGGCACTGGAGTGGGGACGTCAGAGGAGAGAGGGGACAGAATGCATGCAAGATAAAGTAGATGTAAGTGGAACTCAGGGTCCCATGTCACCTCCAGGGTCCAGCTGGGGTGAAGGTGGGGCCCCCAAAGGTGACGCCAGTGGCCTCTCCCTGCCCCCACCCCCCAGCTACTGTCGCCTGGAGACCTCCTTCAGCGTCTACGTGTACGGGGCGTTCCCGATGTCTGTCATCCCGCAGGAGAGCACCGTCTTCCTGCTCACGGGGGCCATCCTGCTGACCGTGTGGCTGGCCTACATCCTCCCCAAACTCCTGAGCACCGAGAAGGGCCTCCGGCTGAAGGGCTTCTGGGTCCGTCTGTACGGGAGATGCAGACAGTCGTGTGCGTGTTGGCAGGGCAGGCGCTGAGCACCCGCGGAGGCCACGGTCCCCGGGGAGCCCTCCGCTGCCGCCCATGGGACCCAGGTGTCTTAAAATAAAGCAGGTGGCGGCGGGCGTCGATCATGTTTTGTGTTTTCCTGACACCCACCTTCATGCCTCTGCCTCCCCCACGTTCCGGGGTCAGCCCCCAGGCGGGCGGTGACCGTGAGGATGCGGGGTCAGCGGGAGATTGTGCCCCACGCCGCACGGCACATGGTGGGACAATGGGCAGGCCTTGGAAAGGGTGGGGCCGCCACGTGTCCTCTTGGGGAAGGAGACCCGAGGGGGCATTGCAGCCGGCGGTGACTGCGGGTTCCCCTGCAGAGCTTCAGACCCTCACAGCCGTGCAAACGCACGTGCACATGCGTGTGCGGGCCCGTGCGTGGGTAGAGGCTTAGAAGTGTGTTAAATATTTTCTATGTACACGTGTCAGGTATAATGCATATACAGATAATATGTATACAGGCGTGCATATATGTGCACAGAGATAATGCGTATACACATCACGTGTAGATACTATGCATATATGTGTGTGTATGATGTGAATACGCATACATGCGTATAGATAATATGGGTACATAAACACGTGTGCAGCTGTGTACATGTATGCACGTGTATATAATATGCACGTGCACGCGTGCAGATATACGGGTGTGTAGATAACACACGTGCACACGCATGTATATATGTATACACATGTATATAATATGCATGCAAGCAGGTATACAGGTGTGTAATGTGTGCACATACACGTGTATTGCTGTGTATATGTATACACGTGTGTATATGTGTGCATACACATGCATGTGTAGACAATACATGTGCATGTATGTGCACGTGTCTAGGTGCGTATACACCTGTAGGTGTGCATCTGTATGTAATATGCATAGATACATGCGTGCATGCGTATAGATGACATGCGTGCCTCTGTGCACAGGTATAACCTGCATGCGTGTGCACACACACAGCCGTGTATTCATATGTATGGACAAGGTGCAGATCCTATCCATTTTTCCCTCCATCTATTCCGTTGGCCTCCCTCTCCCCACTTCGGGTGGCACGGGACAGCCATCTCCTTCTATGTGAAAATGTGGGGTTCCCACGACACTTCTGATTCCTCAGGTCAAAAACTATATTCCACAGCCCTTTGAAGTCGCCCGGTGCTGTCTGAACTCTGTCACTGAGACCCCGACTCCCACGTGTGGCGCGGGGGCCAGTGGCCTGCCCTGGCGGAGCCGGCTCTGCTCCTTCCACCGTCCCGGCATCTTGGGAGGGGACGCGTTGGGTTGCGGGGTGACCTTTGCCTTGTCACCCTGCGTCGGGGTTAATCTTGAAGAAAACCGAGCCCATCCTCTCGCATCCGCCCAGTGGCCAGGCCTTCCCCGGGCCAGCGGCGCCTGACTCTCATCTCAAACACCGCAAACGCGGCTGCGCGGGGAGAGAGCGCTGGGGAAGGCGCGCTCCGGGCTTCTCCGGGCCGGGTCGCTTCAGGACAGACACGGATCACAGGCCGGGTGAGAGGAAGTGTGGACGCCGCCGGTGTAGACCTTGTAGCCCACGGCCTGGCCCGAGGATGGAGGGACCAGCGCCAGACGGGGCTGCGGTCGCCACCTCGCTGAGCCCTGGCATAGGGACACTTCAGGGTCACCTGGAGCATTTTGGGGGTGGAAGGCCCTGGGAAAGGTGGCGAGGTGGAGGTGAGCCTGCACCCGGGATGGCAGGAGGACGGCACTCAGGGGCTGACAGGGAGGCCCAGGCAGGAGGGAGCGGTGTGAGCGGCGAGGCACACCCAGACTCCATCGCCTGCACCTGCCACATGGGATGCAGAAGCCACGGCGTGGCTGGACCCGTGGGGGACCCAGTGCTTGGGGCCTGGCTGGACGCCCATCGGGGGACAGACATGCCCTCTTGGGCGCTGGCCCTCCCCTGGGGCTCAGGCGCCCCATCACGGTGCCTGTCTCCCACACCCCTGCCAGCCCCCACCCTGAGCCCCCGGTCTGTCTCAACATGAGTGGGGGCTGCTGGGCTGAGGCTGACCGAGCCTGGCCAGCAGGTCCCCCAAAAGTCTCCCCCTCCCTCCACCGGCTGTGGCCTCCAGGGGACAGAAGAGGGGAGTTGGGGCCACTCTCCAGGGCCTGCCCTGCTTGCTGTGCATCTCCAGGCAAGTTGCTGCCCCTCTCTGGGCAACCCTGACTTTCTCCACCAAACACAGGAGCAAAAACCCCTTCCGGTGCAGGAGCCTGGGTGGCATCTCCCCGCCTCCCAGGAGCCCCCACCCCCTGCTGGCCGACGTCAACTTTCCAGGGCTGGGAGACCAGCAATTTAGGACCCCCTGCGAGTCTGGGGCTCCCCAGCTCTGCTCTGGAACCCCGGCACCCAGGAGGCGCTGGGGTCCCGGGGCCCACCGGACAACAGGGCAGGTGCGGGGATGGCCCTCCATGCCCGACCCCCACCCACCAGCCCCGGGCGATGCCACCAGCAGATGCCAAGCTGAAATCCAATGGGCTTTAATGGGGGGCGGCCCCCGGGTCCTGCCTGGGCGCTGGGGGGGTGGCCTGCTTGTTCTTGCCTCCCTGCCTCCCCTTCTTGGTGGCCGAGGCGCCCGCTTTCCTCCGGCCGGGGGGCTCAGCCCGCGGTGCGGGGGCCGCGGGCTGGACGGCGGGGGGCCCGGGCTGGGCCGGTGGCTCCTCGTCCAGCGCCTTGAAGTTGAAGAAGTAGTCGACGTGGGACACGGTGTCCAGGATCTCGGGGACGCTGTAGTCGAAGGACAGCAGCTCGTCCGGCAGGTGCAGCGAGCGGATGTCCCCAGAGGAGTCGCCCGCCCCGTCGGGCTGGCCGGGGCCAGGGCCTTTGCCCGGGGTCCCCTCGGGCTCGGGGACGCCCGGCAGGCAGTCGAAGAGCTTCATGGCGTCCTCCAGCAACACCTTGTCGGGCAGCGCTGCGGCCTTGGTGGCCTGGGGGGTCCCCGCCTCGCCTGCCCCCAGCGGGGGCCCATCGGCCTCGGCCGCCTTGGGCTCCCCAGGGCCAGGCCCGGGCTCCTTGGGCGGGAAGGCCAGGGGCTCCCCGGGCCCGTGCAGCTGGCTCAGGCGGCCCTTGAAGTGGCCGTAGGTGGCGGGGGGCAGCGCGGCCTCGGCCGGGAGTGTGATGAGTAGGGGCGGCGGCTGGGTCTCCTTGGGGGGTGCTGGGGGGGCCGGGCCGTCCTTGAGCAGGGTGGGGGGCAGCTCCACGAAGGCTGGGGGCCCCCCGTCCCCCGCGAAGCCCAGGGCGTCGGGCCCCTCGGGCGGGAAGTAGGACATGAGGTACGGGGCGCCCCCGGGCGCCGGCTGGTAGTGGGGGTACGGCGGGGGCGGCCCCGTGGCCTTGAGGTAGGGCTGGGGCTCCAGCAGGTAGGTGCCCGGTGACGCGGGGCCTCCAGCCGGCCCCCCACCACCCGCCGCCACCAGCTTGTACAGCGACGACTGGCCGAAGTCGGTGGCGGCCCACTCGATCCGGTAGATGCGGGGGTCGAAGCAGCAGCCGCAGGGCGCCATCTGGAAGCCTGCGGGCATGGAGGGGACCCCGAGAGGGGCGGGGGCTCAAACCATGGGGCATCCCTGGGGAACAGGAGATACCACCTGGCCCTGGGGCCCGCGGGGGGCATGGGGACATAGGGCTCGCCTTCGGGGCCCCATCTGGGGTCAGAGCCCTGGGTCTTGCTTTGGGGGCCTGAGGCTCGGGGGCCATGGCTCCAACCTTGAGGGTCCGTCTGGTGGCTGGGGACATGGGATTTGGGGAACCTGTCTGGGGAACAAGAGACACAGGCCTTGCCTGGGGGACCCCGTCTAAGGGATGGGACCGTGGGCCTTCCCAGGGAGGGGGCCCATCTTGTTCCCACTCCTCCAGCCCATCCCCGGGGTCGGGGGCGGCCGTACCTGCCGGGGGGACTGGAAACACCTCTTTCTCCGGGTTTGGGGCGGGGTAGAGATTGGAGACACCTGTGGACGAGAGCCGGTGGGTGGCTGGGGTCCCGGGGCTGTGGGGCAGAGCCCTGGTCCCCGCCCCGTTGGGCGCCCCTGAACCGCGCGCACCTACGGCGGGCAGAGGCTCCGGGCAGGCGGGAGCGGGCGCCTCGGCGCCGTCCGGGCCGCGGGGGCTGAAGCCTTCCTGGGGTGTGGCGGGGGCGTAGAAGGGCTTGGGGTGCTGCATCGAGAGGCGGGGGCTGGCCGGGCGGGCCGGGAGGGCGGCAGGCAGGAGCACAGGCGGCCGTCCGGAGAGTGGGCTCCAGGTCCCGCCAAGTTCTGTTTGCCCCGTTGCTCCGGGCAGCGGGTTCCAGGCTGCAGCCCACCCCCTGGTCAGGGTTCCGGATCCAGGGGGTGGAGTGGGGTGGGGGGGGGCAGACAGGGAAACCAAGGCAGGCGTCCCAAAGGGCGGCCCGGTCTGTGGCCTGCCATCTGCCAGCGCCAAGGCCCCCTCCTCCAGGGAGCCCGCCCTGATCCACACCCTGCAGGCTGAGGCCCCCCCATCACGAGCCCCGGTGGCTTCTTTGTGGCCAAGACCTGGCTGGGCCCCGGGAGGGTGGCCAGGGGGACCGTGGCAAACAGTGAGAAGGAGAAAGGGAGCTGTGGGACAGGGACGCCGGCGTGGAGGAAAACCTCCTGAGACGGTCACAGAAAGGCCTGGCTTACAAAGAATAAAATTTATTGTCTCGGGGCCAGGGGTCCCCGCCCGCCCCGTGGCTACTTGTACGCGTTGGCCTTGTGCTTTGGCAGGAAGACGAAGTCGCGCGGCACGGGTCCCAGCAGCATCTCGCTGTCGGAGGGTGAGGGGCGCACAGTCAGCCCGGCCCCCACTGGGCGCCACCCCCCCCCCCCCCCCCCCCCCCCCCCCCCCCCCCCCCCCCCCGGGCTCAGCGCCCCCCGCGCAGCCACGTGGTTCCCGGCACCTGATGCGGATCCAGTCGGCCGCCCGCTGGCTGGCCAGAAGCGTCTCCAGGTAGTCGCGGCCCAGGAAGTAGGGCGGCCGCTCGTTGAGGCGCTGTGGCAGCCGCTCCAGCAGGCCCACGGGCACGTACCTGCGGCCGGCGGCGGGGACACGGTTGGTCTGGGGGGCCCCACGACGCTGGCGTCCCCACGCGGCCTGGCGGGCGCTCACCTGCACAGGAAGGAGAGCCACTCGAGGAGGAAGCGGCGCGTGCGCTCCACGCCCTGCGTGTCCGAGCCCCAGTGCTCCAGGCCGTAGTGTGTGAAGTCCCGCAGAATGTCCAGGCGCTCGGACGCCGAGATGTCCCAGTGTCGCTGCTCCTTGATCTCCGTGAACAGCCAGGGCTTGAGCAGGGCGCCGCTGCGGGGCGGGGGACACGCTCGATGGCACCAAAGCCCCGCGCGCTCACCCTTGAAAGCCCCAGAAACTTCCAGTTCTGCTAGCCACAGCCGCCAGGCGTCCCTGGGCCCCGTCAGGCACCCACAGAGCAGAGCAAGGACCCCGTGGGGTCGGGGACCCCAGCTGCCGCGACAGGGCTCAGGCCAGGCCCGGGGGCTCCGGCGGGTCCACTCACCGGGCGATCATGACGCCCGCGACGCCCGTCTGCATGGCACGGTTGGCATCCTCATAGGACAGGATGTCCCCGTTCCCTGCGGGACAGAGGCGGGGGCCTCAGGGGGCTGCGTGCATCCAGGCGGGCAGGAGGGGGCGAGCGGAGGGCAGGGGACCCACCGAACAGGGGCATGGGGCTGGCGGCCGCGACGCACTGCTCGATGTAGCGCCAGTCGGCCAGCTTGGTGTAGCGCTGCTCGCGGGAGCGGCCGTGGAGCTGGGGGCCGGGAGCGGAGGTCAGAGAGGGCGGGAGACGGGCTGAGAGACAGAGAGACGGACAGACGGAGAGACGGGCGGGCGGACACAGGGACGGAGGGGGAGCGGGAGGAGAGACGCCGTGAGAAGGGGCCATCGGTGCGTCCCCGCCACCTGCCGCCCCGAGACCCACCGTGACCAGGGCCGCCCCCCAGGTGCGCAGCTCGGGCAGCAGCCGGTGGGCCAGGGGCGTGCGCTCCTGGACGCCCGTGCGCAGCTTCACCGTCAGCGGCACGTCCAGCACCTGCGGGGACGGGCGGTCAGCGGCTGGGGACGAGGCGGGGACGAGGAGGGGACAAGGCGGGGACGAGGCCCGTACCTGGCTCATGCCGCGCACAATCTGCTGGAACTTGCCAGAGCGCTGCATGAGCGCGCAGCCCCCGCCCTGCAGAGACGGGCACTGAAGTGAGCGAGGCCGGGCCCCGGGCCGGCCAGATGGGGAAACCGAGGCACGGAGGCCCCCGCGCCCCCCCAGGCTGTGCCCGCTCTGGGCTCCGGGGCCCGAGGCGCTGTACCTTCTTGTACACCAGGTCGATGGGGCAGCCGACGTTGATGTCCACGAAGTCCACGTCCACGGTGCGGTTCAGCAGCTCGGCGCACTTGGTCATGGTGTCCGGGAAGGCGCCCTCCAGCTGGGGCGGGGGGCAGGGCGTGAAGGCCCGTCCGGACTGCCCCCACCGGCCTCGGCGCACCCCCCGCCAAGGCCGTCAGCCCTGGAGGCGCGTGGCTGAGCCGAGAAGGGCCTGGGAGCCGGGAGGCCCTCCTCTCTGTCACCCCCCTGCCCCGGGCGGCGCCCACCTGGACGCCGAAGATGTCCTCGCACTGGTGGCGTCTGAGCAGGGCCCACTCGGACGTCTGGCCCTGCAGCAGGTTGGTGCACACGGCCATCTCCCCGCAGGTCACGTCGGCCCCGAAGCGCTTACAGACCCGCCGGAAGGGCAGGTTCCCGCACTGTGGGTGGTGGGACATGTGAGGGCGGGGCCACACTGGGCACCGTCGGGGGGACCCAGCCAGGCCTCCACCCGCTGGCCCACCCCACGCGGGCCTACCGTGGTGAGGGGAGCCAGGTAGAGTTTGCCACTGATGTCCAGCTGGAGGAAAAGGAAATGCACAGTGAAGCTCCACTCCACCCTCTGCCCTGGCTTTCGAGGCCTCTTGGGCCCCCCTCCCCCTACAGTCTAGAATATTCTTTGTCCTGCCTCAACCAGCCTGGCTCCCTTTCACCTCTGGGTCTCTGCACATCTCAACCAGTCCTTCTATGAGAAATGTTCTTTTCCCCATGTTTTCTTCCATCAGAGAGCTTCTACTCAACCATCAAAACCCCAATCGCAATGCCCCCTCTTCCAGGAAGCCTTTCTCACTGCCTCGGTCTGCCCCAGGCCTGACGCTCCGGGGCTGGGCATGTGTGTCCAGCTCTCTCTGCCCCCCGCACTGCTAGCGTCCTCAGCAAGGAACCTGTGACACGTACCCGCCTCTTCTCACAGGGCCGCAGCCTGACGATGTCCTCGTCTGTCAGGGCCCCGCAGGTCTGCACGGGGCCACTGGCAGGAGCCACCGTGCCCAGCTCCTGGGGGTCCTGCGCCGGGGCACCCTCGGCCTCTGTGGCCTCGGGGACAGCAGAGGGGGGACCCGGCAGCTGGCCCCTGCTCAGCTGGCGCAGGGCCTGCTCGGCGCGCTCAAAGCGGACCTGGCGCTTGCGCAGCTGCTGCTGCAGGGCCTTGTCGAGGCCGTTGCGGACGGGCGGGGCCTGGACGCCCTGCTCCTGCCGCACCAGGTTCCGGCCCCCGGGCCCCAGGTGGGCCCCGGCGAAGCGGCAGGTCACGCCCGCGGGGCACCTGCCGAAGGTCTCGAAGAGCACGCAGCGCGGGCCCAGGTCGGCCGGCTTGGCCGCCAGGTAGCGGCCCACGTCGTGCAGGAAGCGGCAGCGGGCCCCAAACGCACACTGAGTGGCCGGTTCCTGCGGGGAAACAGAGGCAGGGACGGAGGACGAGGAGAGGCCGGGCGGCCGGGGTCGGAACCCCCATTCCGCCCCTGCCGGCTGTGTCCTCGGGCAGGTCTGTAACCTCGCCGAGCCTCAGTTTCTCCATCTGGAAGGTGGGAACCACAGTGACACTGATTTGGGGCGCAGGCTGAAGGTGGCGACGGTGACGCTCACCTGGACCAGGGAGGGGCAGAGCCGGTCCTTGTCGTAGTGCGTGGGCTTCACGTGGGGCCGGCCCTTGTTCTGGCCCCGGGCCCTCTTCTGAGCCTGCGGCTGCTCCCCCGGCTCGGCTGCCTCCTCCGTGCGCCCGTCCTCCGTGCGCCCGTCCTCCGTCTGCCCATCCTCCGTCCGCCCATCCCCTGTCTGCCCGTCCTCCAGCCGGATCCGCTTGGCCTCAGGCTCACCCAGGTCATTGCCACCAGGGTCTCCTGCCTCAGTTTCCCGGCTGGGCTTCTCCTGCCCTTTGGCCTCCAGGAATTCGTGGAACCGCTCCTTGGTGGTGAGGTATCTGCCCGCGGAGAGGCGGGGGAAAGGAGGGCTGGTCAGAGGGGGGGGTCCCTCCTCTGGGCTCAGATTCAACGAACGCTGGGGAAGGGGACTCAGAACACTTGCCGCTGCTTACATGCTTCTGCTGATGGGGAGCTCACTACTTAGAACCGGCCAGCCACCAGCCTGGGAACACTGCAAGGCCACACACAGGCAGGAGCTATTTTGTCCCTGTGTCCCCATTTCTCAGAGCGTTGAGCCAAACTACATGTACCAGGCACGAACCTCCCTGGCCACGTTAGGCTAAAGAAAACTACACGTCCCAACGTGCCTTGCAATGGAGGCCACAGCCGCCACATCTCCCAGTATGCCCCGCAGGACTCCCTTCAGACGTGCACATGCGCAAGTCTCGCCACACGCCAAGACTACAGTCCCCAGCATGCACTGCGGCCCTCGCCTCAAACCCCGCCCACCCCAGCGTGCACTGGGGCGACCTGCGCGCCTGTGACAGCTCTCAACGTGCGCGATCCCCGGTACTGCCGCTGAGCCTGCGGGCGGAGGAACAGCCCGGACCGAAGAGCATGCGAGCTTCCCGCTCTGAGCCGCTACCCCATCTCCCGGCATGCCCTGCTTGGGCCGCGCTACGGGTGCCGGGAAGGCCTCGTGAGGTTCTCTCCCTACCCCGGCGACTCACTGCGGCTTAATGGGCGCCACTCCCCGTTCCAGCGCGCCGGCTCCTGAGTCGCCTCCGCCACCACTCTCTGCAGGGGCCTCCGTCGCTCCCTCCGCCATCAGCCCCCCTCACGCCCGCTTTGAGTTGTGGCGGGAAGGCCTTCCGGGTCGCGCGCGTGTCTTCCCCGGCCCTGCTGGGGAACTGCGCATGCCCGGGTCGCTTCGAGTGACGCCATTGTGCGCGCGTCGACGTAGCAGGGGGCGGGGCCTGCGAGGGGGCGGGGCTTCGGCTCGGGTCGCCTTCTGGGCCCTTTGGGGGAACCGGAAGTCGTTCGACGGTCTTGGGGGAGGTTCGCAAGCCGGCCGCCCGCGGGCCGCAGTTGTGTTTTCCTGCTGGAGTTTTAAAAACATTTAATTCTACTACTTTTATAGAATTTGATAGAATGAATGCGGGGCTCTCATTCAGCCGGTAATTTGTTGAGCGCCTGGGTGCTGGATGCTCTCGTAGATGCGGGGGTGACAGCAATGCACAAAGCAGACCCCCAAACCCTGCTCCTGGGAGAGGGGGGCCCTGGGGCTCCGGGGCAGCCCGCCTCCATCCCGACCCGCTGGGCACCCCGTCCTTCAGCTTCTCTGTGCCTCAGTTTCCCCATCAGGAGGAGGGGGCTGATCATCACCCCCCGTTCGAAGATAAGGCTTCAATAAATGACCCATCCGTGCGCATCGCGACGGTCGTTACTATTACGTTACGAGTGTTATTTGCCCCGAATCCCGGGAGCACGTGCTGGGGACACGCAGCCCCCGCCCGCCCCGCGGAGGGACCCGAGGCAGGGGCCGTGCTGCTCGCCTTACAGATGGGGAAACTGAGGCCCGAGGACGGGAGGGATGCGCCTGAGCCTGCCAGGCTCTTCCGAGACCCGGGAGCCAGTGGACGGGGCGGGCAGGGCGGCCGGTCCTCCGTCTCCGGCCTCGGCTGCCCCCTGGGGGCCAATCTGGGAATAAGGCGGTGGACTCGGCAGAGCTGGCAGAAACCTCTGGAATCTTCTGGAACCTTCCTCGCAGCCCCCATCACCCGCCTCCGGGGCCGCCCGTCCCGTTGTCCTCTGCGGCGCTCTCCCCTCCATCCTCCCACAGACCACTCTGGGGAGACGACTGGACAGCTGGGGAAACTGAGGCCCAGAGAGGGCGACCTCAGGCATGTGGCGTCGCCTCTCAGGGCCTCAGCCTCCAAGGCTCTGCCCTGCCTGCTCTGTGGAAGGCAATGCCGGAGGGCTTCCTGTAGGAGGGGGGCTGTGGACTGGCCATTGGGAACCATGGTATGAATAGGATTAATTCCTTCTTCTTATTTAGTATATTAATGATCACAGTATAATATTAACCGTTTATCAGTAGCTGCACAATGATTGAGCGCTTGCCGTATACCAGGCCCCGTTCCGAGCCGTTTTCACATATTCACTCAATTATTCCTCTTGTGCAGAGGGAGCAGGGGCTCACCTCAGCTCCACCTGAATTCCCAGCTGCCCCCCGAGTCCTGAGCCAGACCCTCCAGTCTCTCCCCAGTCCGCCCCGTCTCTCCCCGTCACCTCGTCTTACAGGCCTCAGTCTTCCCTCCTGCCCCCAACACCCCAGCCTCCCACAGCTGTGTGCAAAACACAGGCCTGACCGTGGGCCTCCCCTGCTCCCAATCCTTCCATGGCTCCCTAGTGCCCCAGCCCTGCTGCCTTCCCCAGCTTCATCCCTCGTCACCCCCTCACTCCCTGAACTGCACCCCCAAGTTCAGTCCAAAACTCCCATGAGCCGGTCTTGCCTCCCAGCCTTTGCCTATGCTGTTCCCTCTCCCAGGAAGTCTGTGCCCTGCTCCCAGTCACCTCACTTCTCAGCTTGTCTGGAAGCCTCTCTGATTGCCCGCTGCTCGGGGCGGGGCCAGTGCCGCCTCCAGGGTCCCCCATCGCGGCCCCGGTCATCCTGGACCTGCTGGCCACGCGCCTGTATGCCCTCTGTCTGGACTGTGTGCCCAGAGAGGCCGGGAGTGGGGTCTGCCCCGGTCACTCTGTGTCCCCAGCGCCTGGCACGCGGCCTGGCGCATGGCAGACGCTCAGTGAACACTTGCTGAGGGAATGCATCATGGCCGGGGAAACTGAGGCACGCAGGGGGCAGGACCTGCTCTGGGAGGGGGTCCCACCTTTGCTGAGGCTGTGGCAGGGGTGAGGACTTCCCAGTGTCACCCTACAGAGTGTGGGGACACTGAGGAAGATGTCCCCCCTCCACCCCAGAACTAGGCCTGAGTCGTCCTCCATATGCCCCACCTTGACGGATCTGAGGACACAGGAGGGAGGCAGGGACCCGGGGCCCCTGAGCAGGCGGGGAGACTGAGGCAGCAGGTGGGGGTGGGCGGGGCCTGGGAAGAGCTTCTGGGGCTCTGCTCGGTGACCGGCTCTCTGCCTCTGGCTCTCTTTTATTCTTTTTGTTTTTTGAGGAAGGTTAGCCCTGAGCTAACATCTGCCGCCAATCCTCCTCTTTTTGCTGAGGAAGACTGGCCCTGAGCTAACATCCGTGCCCATCTTCCTCTACTTTATATGTGGGATGCCTACCACAGCATGGCATGCCAAGCGGTGCCACGTCCGCACCCGGATCCGAACCAGCGAACCCCAGGCCGCCAAAGCAGAACATGCGAACTTAACCACTGTGCCACTGGGCCGGCCTGGCTCTCTTTTATTCTGGTTTCTGCCTTAATTTCTTTCTTTCTTTCTTTCTTTCTTTCTTTCTTTTTTTTTTTTTTGCTGAGGAAGATTGTCGCTGAGCTGACATCTGTGCCCATCTTCCTCTATTTTCTGTGGGACGCTGCCTCAGCGTGGCTTGACGAGCAGTGCTGGGTCTGTGCCCAGGATCCGAACTGGCGAACTCTGGGCCAATGAAGCAGAACGTGCCAGCCCCTTAATTTTTTTTCTTTTTTGGTCTTTTCTGTATCTCCTTCTCTCTCTGTGTCCCTTTGTCTCTCATATCTTCCTCTGCATTTCACTCTCCCTCCATGTCTTGTCTCCACATTTCTCTCTTTCTCTCTCCCTCTGTCTCTCTCTTTGCATCTGTCTCTCTGCGTCTCTCTCTGCATCTCTGTCTCTCTGTGTCTCTCTCTGCATCTCTGTCTCTCTGCATCTCTGTCTCTGCATCTCTCTCTGCATCTGTCTCTCTGCATCTCTCTCTGCATCTCTGTCTGCATCTCTGTCTCTGCATCTCTGTCTCTCTGCAGCTCTGTCTGTATCTCTGTCTCTGCATCTCTCTCTCTGCATCTCTGTCTCTCTGCATCTCTGTCTGCATCTCTGTCTCTGCATCTCTGTCTCTGCATCTCTCTCTGCATCTCTGTCTCTCTGCATCTCTGTCTCTGCATCTTTGTCTCTGCATCTTTCTCTGCACCTCTGTCTCTGCATGTCTCTCTGCATCTGTCTCTGCATCTCTGTCTCTGCATCTCTCTCTCTGCGTCTCTCTCTGCATCTCTGTCTCTCTACATCTCTCTCGGCATCTCTCTCTCTGCATCTCTGTCTCTGCATCTCTCTCTGCATCTCTGTCTCTGCATCTCTGTCTCTGCATCTTTCTCTGCACCTCTGTCTCTGCATGTCTCTCTGCATGTCTCTCTGCACCTCTGTCTCTGCATGTCTCTCTGCATCTCTGTCTCTCTGCATCTCTGTCTGCATCTCTGTCTCTGCATCTCTGTCTGCATCTCTGTCTCTGCATGTCTCTGCCCCCCCCGCCCCCCTCCCTCCAGCTCCCTGCGTCCCGCCCTCTCTCCCCTCGTCGGGGCAGGTGCGCCGGCTCGGTGCCCGGTGCTGCGGCCTCCTTGATCGGGCGCGGCCGCTCCTTATCTGCGCGCAGGGTCAGGGGGTCGGGGCCAAGGACGCGGGCGGGGGCCGGGCGTGTGCGCTGCTGCGTGTGCGCATGTGGTCTGTGTCTGTGCGCCAGCGTTTTCACACTGGGGGCCTGTGCGCATGTGTGTGCGTGCGACGGGGGACACATTTGCAGCTGTGACTGCTGAGTGCGTGTGACTGTGTCTGTGTGAGTGTGTCTGTCTATGTGTGTGTGACGGTGTGCACACATGTGGCGCGTGCGTGTGCGTCTGTGCCTCTCTGAGCCCCGGGGGCCCTTGCACAACCCCCAGCCCCCCGTTCCCTCCCCCCCACCCCTCGGGCAGCCTAATGGCTTTCCCGCCTTGCCGACCTGGGGCCTCCAGGGACACGGCCCTCGACCTGTGACCTGCGGCTGCAAATGGCCCTGTGGGGACGGCCACCGGCCCTGCTTTTCCCATCCTCGCCTGGAACCCGCCAGCCCCTTCCTGCCGCCCCCAGGCCTCATGGGCCCCATCCCGGAGCCCTTGCGGTGACCCCGCCAGGAGTGCGCGTCCAGCTGTGTCCCCATCGGGCCCGAGGCCTCACTCCGCTCTCAGCATCGCCCAGCTCGGAGTGACAGTGACTTTGTCAAATCAAGAGCCCCGAAGCCTCATTTTGGGGGGCCTTGTGGCTGGGCATCACAGCCTTGAGCTGTCCCCAGGACCCCGGGGGAGAGCGATGCCACCCCCACCTCAGCCTGGGCACAGAGCGAACGCCGTTTCACATACAGGGAAACTGAGGCCCAGCAATCTCAGTCACCGGCACGTTGAAGGGTGGGGCAGGGCTCAGTGGGGGTGGCTGACGCTCTGGCCGGGGGTGGCCAGAGGGACAGAGGACACAGACGGCGCCAGGACGCTCCCACCACACAGGGCTGATCCCTGGGGGTCCCGAGGCACAGCCCTGGGTCCACGGGGCCTGGACCAGCTCCTGGCACTAAGATGGAAACTTCTCCAGCAGCCAAGTCCGCATCTTGGCCAGCGGCCGCCTGGGCCTCTACTCGCGAACAGAACACCCCCCTTGGGAGCACTGACTACCCGGGGGGTGGGGGGGGCAGCCCCGGGGGACAGGGATGGAGGAGCGGCCGGGGCAGTGGCTGAACGTCCTACAGTCCTTGCGCCCCCAGGTTTGAGCCTCTTCGTTCCTGTGTGACCTTGGAGCAGAGTCTTGACCTCTCTGATCCTCAGGTTTCACAACGGCCAAGTGGGCCCAGAGCTGGCTGGGGAGGGGGAGGCATCACCCAGAGCCACCTGGGGGACAGCGGAGGAGGCTGTGACTGAGCGGAACGAATTCCCAGGCAAACACCACAGAGGGCGGGCCGGTGGCGGGGTCTGGCTTCTGGCCGCCCCTGGCCTGTCACACCCCTGCCTCGGCTTTGACCCAGGAGCCAGCAGGCTCGAATCAGCCTCAGGGGCCCCGTGCCCGTGGGTGCCCCCTGCTCCTCGCCGAGCCTCAGTTTCCCCACCTCTGTGCCCTGGGGAGACCTCAGGCCCTGCTTTCAGCTTGGGAGGTTGGCGGCTCGGTGCCACCCGCCCCCGCCCTGCGACAGCCCCAGACTGGAACCAGGAAGGTTTAAAAATAAAGCATTGTAAATACCCGTGTTTCCTGCAAATAGAAGCGGCCCCGGTCCCCTCGGCCTCGCGGGCAGCCGGGCCCAGACGGGAGGTGGGGACCCGAGGGGGGGGGGCGCCCGCGTGCGCCCCAGTTCCCGCGGCGCTGTGAGTCAGCCGGTGTGACGGGGTGTCTGTCTGTCACCGCCTGTCCCGGGGGGGGTGACCAAGTGTGTGGGTTGGTGCCAGAGGGTGACCCAGGGTGCTGTGAGGTGACACATCGATGATGTGGGAAGGTCACACTTGCATCCGGTGTGATCACGGGGGCCTGGCCCTGAGTGTGACAGGGTCTCCTCCCTGGTGGGAGTGTGTGTGTGCTCCGGGATGTGACAGGCTCTCTGTCTGTAGGGGAAGGTGGGCGTGGGTCCTGGGGTCCGGCCCCCCTGTGGCCCCATCCCCGAGGCCCTGCCCCCTCCCCCCCAGCCCAGCGGAAGAACCGGGGTCTTTCAAGTCGCTGTTGCCAGGACGACTGTTTTACGAGCGTCCACATGGTGGGCACATGTGTGTGTCCCGCGTCCCATGTGTCTGCGCGCCCCGCCCCCACGGCCCCCGTCGGCGTTCAGGGTGAGCCGGAGGCGGCCCAGGGGCAGCTGGTGACAGCTTAATGAGGGCTGGCTGGGGTGGGGTGGCCTCCCGGCTGGGCTGCGGGTGTGCAGGGCGCGGGGGCTGTGCTCCCAGACGGGTCCAGCGTGTGTGCACGCGTATGTGCACGCGCGACCGTGTCTCCGCAATTTCTGTGCGCGTGTGGCTGTTGGCGGGGGTCCCCTGTGCTCGGGGGTTTTTGCGTGGAAAGTGTGTGTGACCGCTGTGTGTGTGTTAACAGCGCCAGGCAGCGTGGGAGTGTGTAAGGATCCACCGAGTGTGCATGCACGTGCCCCCTGGACCTTCTCTGAGGACCAGTGCACTGAGACGCGTGTGCACATCGTGTGTGTGTGTCCCTCCAGTGAACTGTGTGTGCGTACGGATGTCTGGGTGTCTGGGCATGCTGATGGGTGTGACCCCCCCCCCCGGGACAAAGGTTTGAGGGTCTGCATGTGAATGGCCAGTGGTGCCACGCCCATGTCTCCCCCCGAGGGTGCGCATGTCACTGGGACTGAGCACTTGGCGACAATAGTGACGGACACTTGGACATTGCTCACCACGGGCCCGGCACGGTTGCTCATTGAATCCTTACTACAACCCTGAGGATCTACAGATGATAATCCGTGGTACAGATGGGGAAACTGAGGCACGGAGCGGCGAAGGACCCGAGCCGCCCACGCACACACCTTGCGCTGTCCACCCTGGACCGGGACCCGGTACGGCCCCTTCTCGGACACCGGCTCGCTCTGGTGGCCCCCCACGCACCCCCAAACTCACAATCCGGAGCCCACCCCGGCCTCACGCCCGAGAAAAACCCCGGGCTGCTGGGATCAGAGGAACGCAGGCGGCTGGGCCAGAGGGAGGAGGCCCCGCGAAATCAGGCGGCGGGAGCGAGAAAGCGGAGCGCCGGGCGCCCAGAACGCGGGCGGCGGCCGGGACCGCGCGGGGCGGGACCTGCGCACGGGGGGCGGGGCTCTATGGGGGCGTGGCCACGGCGGCTCCAGCCCCGCCCACACCCCTCCATCCCCTCTCCCCCGCCCCGTCCCTCGGGGCCGCCAGGGGGCGCTCTGGGCACGCGCGGCCGTCGGGTAGGGGCCGGAGGGGGGGGCGGGCGGCGCGGGGTCTGGGGCCCAGCAGAGTGCGGAGGGGAACCGGGGGTGGGACGGGGACCCCCGCAGGGCTCTGAGGCCAGCCTGGGGGGCACTGCCCCTGGAGGAGGGCGCTGCGGACGGCGGGTCTCGCCGTCAGTCTTAGGGTACCCACTTGCTGTCTTAGGGAAGATCTTCGGGTCTCGGCTCTCTGGAGTGGCTTTCTTGGGGGGGGGGAGCCTCTTTAGCTTTCTGGAAACAGGACCTGGGGGGCCCTCACAATCCTCAGCGGGGTGCGTGGGAGGCTGGGCCATCGGGGGGCAGTGCTGGCTCTTAATTCCCAGAAGGGGAATCTTGGGGGGTGGGCGTCTTGGAGACTCACGTTTATGGAAGGGGCGCCGTCGGGGTTCCTGGAGTGGGGTGGGAAACAGCTCATGGGGGGACCCTGCGCTGGTGGGTCCCTTGAGGGGCTTCCTTGGTGAGGGGACTTCTTGGGGGACCGGGCAGGACCTGGGGGGGGTGTGACATAAGGCCAGATCCTCATGGGAGTGGGGGGCGCTGGCGTCGGGGGCGCCGTGGTTCTTGTCTCAGTGGGGGGCCCTCGGGGACGGGGTGTCTTGGGGCCCCGGCTTTTCCAAAGGGGCCCCGAGTCCCGGGGAGGTGGCCGTCTGGGGCGCGCGGCGGCCCCGGCAGCCCTGCCACCTGCGCTCCTCGGCCCCCCTCGGGCGGGGGCGGGGCGCGGCGGGGGCGGCTCCCGTCCCGGGAAACCCGAGCCACCGCCCTGGCCCCGCCCCCGGGCCCGCCCCCCGGCCCGCCGGCCGAGCCGTCCGCGGCGGGAGCGGCGGGAGAGCGCGCCGTGGAGCCGCTCCGAGCGCCCGGGCCCCCCGCGCCGCCGCCCCGGAGCCCCGCGCCCGCGCCCAGGCCGCCCGCGCCGTCCGTGCGCCCCCGCGCCCCGCGCCCTCCGAGCCGCCGGCCGTCCAGGGCACCCGGGAGCCCCCGCCGGGCCGGGATGGCCGCAGCCCGCGGCTGAGCGAGCCCGGGGGGGCCCCATGGGCCGGCCCGCGCCGCGCCCCCCCGCGGCCGCCCCCTCCGGCCCGCGCCCCCCGGGCGCCGCGGGCCCAGGCGGCCCGGATGGCGGTGCGGCGGCCGGGGCAGGGGCTGGGGCCGGCGCGGGCGGCAGGCGCGGCCGCCACTGACGGGCAGTCGGGCGCCCCAGCAGGTAAGCGAGGACGGGCGCGGGGAGGACCGGCCCCGGGGACGCGGGCTTGGGGGGGCTCCCGGGGACTCCGGGTGGACCAGCAGCTTCCCTCCCGGAGCCTGAACTGGCGTGTGTAGGATGGTGGGGTCAAGGGGGCGACAGGTCCGCGCGTAGCGGGGCGACGGGGGCGGGGTGGGGGATCCGAAGCGCCTCTGCAAGGATCCGACGATGGGGGGGGTCCCTGTCCGACGGGGCGGGCGCGCCTGTGCCCCCCTGGACCCCGGTGTGTGCGTCCTCGGAGGGCTGGAAGCGCGGGGAGGGGGGGCAACCGGGATCCCCTCTGCAGCCTCCAGGAGGGCGAGACCCAGACACCCCTCTGCCTCGTGGTCCCCAAGGGGCCGTGGGGGGCTTCCGGGTCCCGCAGCCCAGCGCGGGGGGCTGCCGTCGCGGCCCAGCTGCGCGCAGAAGTAAACATCTGTCAGTGGCGCGTTCCAGCCGCGCTCGCTGCGCGCCGCCGCCGCCGGGGACACGGTGTCCTCCGGTGAGGGCCCGGCTCGCTCGGCGCCCGGAGCCGCCTGTTCACCACAAGAGGGCGCGAAACCCTTTTTTGGGGGGGGGGGGGGGGGGGGGGGGGGGGGGGGCGTCCCTTAAGGGCAAAGTCCAGATTTGCAAGGTTCTGCGCCCGCCTTCTTTTGATTTTTGGAAAAGGCATCTCTTGGGCTGGAGGGTCTCGCGATTCTGCCCGGCGGCGCGGTTTGGGGGTGAGGGGGCTGCAGACGCAGGGCAGACGGGGGTGGCACTGGAGAGAGAAGTGGCCTCTCCCAGGGGCTGATGTCACCGCTGTCCCCTCCCAGGAGCATCAGCGTATACGTGGGGCCACCGGGCCAGCTCAGCCGGCCCGTGGTCACCTGCCAGGCTGGGTCCCCAGCCCGGATCTGGGAGCAAGGCCAGGGGCCTGGGAGGGGGTGCAGAGGCGGGACCCCGGACTTTCGTCCCTCCTGCCCGCCCACCCTGCCCCATCCCTGGCCACCGTCCCTCCTCTGCTCCATGACACTCTTTGTCTGTCTGCAAGCGCCCGGGGCTGAGGAAGCCCCACTGGGGCGTGACTGGTCTGGTCGGATGTCAGCCCGGGGGAGGCTCCCAGCTCTGCCAGCTTCCCCGCCCCCCCTCCATTCCCGGCCTTGGGGACCTTCGGGCCACCTCCCAGGACTCCTGGGCTCGGGGTCCCCAAGCTGTCCTAGGCGTACAGCCCCCTCCGAGCGAGCTGCAGAGAGCTGGCTGTGCGGGTGCAGAGCACAAAGCCAACGTCCCCTGCTGCTGGCACAGTGTCTCGCAACCCCCATCAGCCCTCGTCCCTCAGTTTTCAGGGATCGAGGGGACGATATGGCTCCCAAGAGGCTGGGGCGTGAGAGGGAACCCCACAGTTTGCAGCCGGGCGCAAGGACGCAGTCAAGAAATGGGCCACAAGTGTTTGCGGGACAGCAATGATGTGGCCCACTGTTTGGTGTCAGGGCTCCTGGGCCCTGTCCTTCAAGGAAGGCAGACTTAGATCCAGGGTGGAGCCCAGAGTGGGGCGTGGAGGCTGTGCCTCAGGGTAGGAGCGTCAGGAGAGACTTTCCCCAAGGAGGGGCATGGGAGCTGGGGCTGTGAAGGATGTGTAGGAGTTTTCAAAGTGGAAAAAGAACAAGCGCATTCCAGGTGGTGGGAACTGCACATGCGAAGATCTTGAGGCTGGAAAGAGCAGGGGTGGTTTTGGAACATCCAGGGTGCCCGGGCAAGTGTGTGAGGGAGAGGCTGTTCAGAAAGGTTGGCAAGGGTGCTCAGGAGTTTCCAGAAGGCTCTCTTCCCATCCGGGTGAAATCAGGCTTCGGGCCAGTTCTGGAAGAAATTAGACCCGGGGGGGCCCCTGCTTGCAGCAGGTGGATCTTGCTTCCTAGTTGGGGAAACTGAGGCCCATTCATGCCTGAACAGCTCAGAGTGTTGGGACCCGAGGCAGGATTTGAACTCGGGGAGACGGCAGAGGTGACTTGGGTGCCCCGGTTCCCAGTGTTAGGGGTCTGTGCCTCGGTTTCCCTCTGTGTCAGCGGGCTGGCTTTGAGTGGCGTCCTCCTGGCCGTTCCTGGGGGACCTATGTGCCACCCGCCGGCCCTGCGCCAGCTGCTCCACGTGCCAGGCCTCATTAGGCTGATCCTGTCATCACAGCCCGCGAGCCCCTCCTGCCCACCGCGACGCCTGCTGGCGGCCCAGGCCGGTCTGCTGGGGTCACGGTGGGAATTTTAGGGACAGCCGCAGAGGGCGGGTCATTCTGAGTTCCCTGCCTTGCCGGGCACACAGTAGGCTCTCAATCACTGTTGAGCGAATGTCTCAGGGCTTTCTGCCACGGGGGCCCTTTATTTCGTCCTGCTCTGCTGTGTGGCTTTGAGGAAACCTGTTATGGTCGGGGGTTCCCAGGTATCCGCGAGGGATTTGTTCCTGGAGCCCCGCGAATCCGGAACTCGCGGGTGCTGGAGGCCCTTCTAGAAATGGTGACGTATTTGCATACAACCTGCACACATCCACGTAGACTTTGAATCATCTCTAGATGACTGCTGATACCGAAGATAATGGAAACGCTGTGTAAACAGTTGTTAGTCGGTATTGTTTGGGGAATAAGCACAAGAAAAAGTCTGTCCCTGTTCGGCACAGACGCACCCGTCACAGGCTTTTCCATCCGCGGTTGGCTGAATCCGCGGATGCAGAATCCGCGAATATGGAGGGCCCACCAGACTTCTCTGGACCTGAGCCCTACTTTTCTCCCAAACAGCAGAGCCTGTCACTCCCTCCCCGCTTCTTCCCTCCCCCTCAGCACTGCCCTTGTTACCCAGGTCCCAGGGGTTGTGGAGGCATCAAGAGAACAAATTGGGAGTCAGACCCAGCCTCAAACCCCAGCTCGGCCACTTATTTTTTGGGTGACCTTGAGCAAGTCACTGTACCTGTCCAAGCCTCAGTTTCCCCATGTGGAAAACGGGGCTGATAATACTAACAACATCTTTTCCAGGGGCTGTGGGGAGAATTAAACGTGGTAAGCACTTAGCACAGTGCGGCACTAAATAAGTGGAACAGCCAGTGTTGCCTGGTGTTAATGTTGTCACAACAATGTTGTTAGAAAGGCCATATGGTACAGTGGTTAAGAATGTGGAGGAGAGGGCATTGGGGCTGGGGTGTTGAGGGATGAATAGGAGTTTGCCTGATCACCAGTGTTCAAATCCCAGCTTGGCCACTTAAGTTCTGTTTGACCCTGAGCAAGTCACTTCACATCTCTGGACCTCAGTTTTCCCATCTACGAAATGGGGATAAAATAGCCCATGCGTTGCTATGAGTTACTGTGCGTAAAGAGCTTCCGACGGCCCCAGTAGCGTTGCTCACTGTTGTTAGGATCCTCCGAGTCGTGGGGAGCCAGCGATGGTTCTAGCAGTTGGGCAGCATGCAGCCTCCGGTTGGGGGCCCCCACGTCTGGCCAGGCCTGGAAGGGTCGGCAGGGGGTGTCTGTGACTGCCGCCCCCATGAGGCCGCCCCAGGGGCTGGCCCCGGCCGCCGCAGACGTGGCATCAGAACCAGCTGTGCTGGCCAGATGTTCCTCGTTTACCCCCAGATGTGTGTCGCGGCGCACGGCTGCCCCGGCCTCCGAGTCCCTGCCCCGGGGTGGGGCCGGGCCCTGGGGCCCCCGAAGGAGGGGCACATTTTTGCAGCTGCGGAATTTGCTTCTCATTTCAAGGAACCACTGAGTCTGGCCTTGAGAGAGGCCTCAAGTCCTGCCCCTCCTGGGGCCTCAGTTTCCCCATCTGCAGGACCCTGGGGACTGCCCCCCACAGGGGCCGTCTAGGGGAACGGAGAGGAGCAGGCTTCCCTAAGAACAGGCCCCCCTGCCAGTCCCCGGCTCACTGAGCCTGGAAGCACGATGACAGCCCCACACGCCTCACCTCTGGGTCTACCCGACGTCTCCACACTGCTGGGTGGCCTCCTTAGGGCACTTTTGGAAGATGGGGACACCGACTTAGGGGAGGACTGGCGACGGTCCGGGAGGGACACGGAGAGGAGGGAGAAGGAGGCGCCGCCCAGGCAGAAGCTTGGAGAGGGCGCTGCAGCCGGCTCAGGCTTCTGGGAGCAGAATTATCGAAGCCTGCCCTTGACACAACTGGGGCCAGGCTGTCCCTCCAGAACGCGCCAGTCCAGCAAAGACAGACGTGGGCACAGAAACCGTGCCGGCAGGGCTGAGCAAGAAGGGGGGCCCCACGGCGGCTGGGGGGCTGAGATGGGGAGCAAGGAAGGCTTCCTGGAGAAGGGGCTGTAGGCGCTGGGGTTTTGAAGGATGAATAGGAGTTTGCCTAATGGGGAAAGGCCCTGATGGCAGGCCTCACCCAGACTAGAGAGATGAGCGCATGGAGGCAGGGCTGCCCTCTCGTCCTTCCTGTCCCGGGGAACGAGCGTGAGGCCAGGAGCTCAGCAGTTCAGAGGCCGGGGAATAGGTGCGCCTGATGAGTGTCCCCGGGAGGCTCTGTGGAAAGGCGGAGCTCAGAGGTGTTGCCTGGGCACCAGGATAATGAGCAGTGTTTCCTGGCCCCACCAAAGAAGCTGCTAGAACATCCACACGCCTTCGCCCTGGCCGTCTGATCCTTGGAGGAGACCAGCTGTGTGACTTTGGGCGACTCATCGCCCCACTCTGGGCCTCAGTTTCCCCTCCTCCCCGCCCCAGCCCTGGGGATTCGTGGCTTCTAGCTAGAAGCGTGGGGCGGTTCCCCTGCAGATTCTGCGTCTCGCAGCCGCCGTGTCTGTGCCACACGCTGTTCCCCGGGAATCTCTGCGGCTGAGGGCCCCACGGCACTGGCGTGTTCCGTGTGTGCCCCGTGTGTGCAAGCGTGTGGTGGGGACACGCACGCGGCAGGCCAAGCTCCCCCCCGGGACACTGGGACACCCCTGTGCACACAGTCCACGTGCTCCCGGGAGGGCTCAGAGGCTGCATGTGCGCACGGGCATGTGTGTGTGTGTCGGTACCCACTCACTGTCGGTGTGTGAGACAGCGTGTCTGTGAGAGTGTGAAAATGCTGGAGTGTGGGAGGCCTGAGTGGGTGTGAGTGTGCGAGCATGGGAGTGTGCAAGCTCCCAGGTGCGTGTGAGAGGGAGGCCGGCCCGTCACGTGTGAGTGGGGAAACACCACCATGTGAGTGTGTGCAAGGGCGAAAACACACTAGTGTGTGGTCGTGGTCACATCACGTGTGCAAATGTTGAGTGTGAAAATGCCCAATGTGAGTGTCTGTGTGAAAACACGCCAGTGTGCGAGTGTGACACTGTCCCAGTAAGTGTGATAAGTGTGTGAGAAATCCCTGTGTGTGCTTGCGAGTGTGAAAATAGGAGTGTGCACGTGTCATCACGTCTGCATTGTGTGACAGCCCTGAGTGTGTAAATGGGACAGTGTGAGTGTGCATGTGGGAGAGGGAGGGTGTCAGAGCATGTGAGCGAGAATGCGTGCAAATCTGTGCGTGGGCTCGTGTCCGAGTGTGTGCGTGCGAGTCGCCGTGGGTGAGAGCGAGGGCACACGAGCGTGCTGTGCGAGCCCCCGGTCTAGGGGCCTCCGTGACACCAGCGCACGCCCGTGCACACCCGCCCCCTCCCGCCAGGCCCGCGGGGACAAACCAGGCGGGTGAGGCACAGAGGCCCATTGTTGGCGCCTTATCAGCCGCCGCCAGCCCTCCAGCCGCCGCTTCCCGCCCCCTCGGAGCCCCGGGGGGTCTGCCGCCCCAAGGCCACCAGGGGCCCCGGCCAGGCCACCCCGGGTCGGGTCCCAGCCCCCTGTGGAGCCCTCAGCAGACACCGAGGCCCACGGCTTGGCGCCGTGCGGGAGCTCTGTGCCAGCCGGCCGGGGAAACTGAGGCACCCTGCTCTAAGCCTTGGGTGTGAGGGCAGGAGGGTGCTGGGGGCCCAGAGGCTGAAATGATTTTCTATGCGTTAAGTTTGTAGAACGGGATCGGCATAAACTCAGTGCTTCTTGAGAATAAAGGGGGCGGGTTTCTGCACCTGACAGAATGAAATATTGTCCCCGCGGCCCCCCAGGCCCCGAACGACCCCCCTCCCTGCCCTCCCTCCCCTCCCTCCACCCTCTCTCCCCCTGGCTCCCTCTGTTCCAGCCACACAGGCCTCCTCGCTGTTCCTCCAACGCGAAGCCCGGTCCTGCCCCAGGGCCTTTGCACGTCCCCGTGTGGGGAACACCATTCTCCACCACCCCCAGCATAAAACTGGCCCTCCGAGTACGAGGGGCAGCGGCAAGCCGTTGGGGTGACGCCCCAGCCCGGGCTCCCAAGCCCAGCCCAGCCCTGAGGTGTGTGTCTGTCAAAGAAGCCGGGTTGGAACCCCACGTCCTTTTCTAGCTGAGCAGCTTGGACACATCCCTCCCTAGCTGTTTTGTGCCTCAGTTTCCCCAGTTGGAAAGTGGACATCAGAGTGCCTGTCTGTGGGTTCAGCCCCGGGCCTGGTACACAGCAGGCACTTCATAATTGTCCCCTGTGACTTACTGTCCCGTGGGCTCAGGTCCTGCGGGCGCCTCCACCCGGCGGGGACGGGCAGGGACTGGCGCTTAGGGCCACGACTGAGGGTCCGCCCAAGACTGGGCGCACGCAAATGAATGCAAATGAATGCAAATGGATGCAAATCACGGCTCCTCCCGGCCGCGAGCAGCGTGCACGGCCCGGGGTGGGCGCTTGGGGCACCCGGCCCCCTGCACCCCCGGCACCCCCGGCACCCCCGGGCCCTCTGCACCCCCAGCAACCCGGAGCCCCCCCCGCCCCCAGGGCCCCCCGGGCGCCCCCCCCCCGCACCCTAGCACCCCGGCTCCCCAGGCCCCCCGACGCCCCAGGCCCCCCCCTGGCTCCCCAGCCCCCTGGGCACCCCCAGTCCCCCGGGCACCCCCCGCCCCCCGGGCCTCCCCAGCCCTCCCCGGTGCAGCCGGGCCTCCCTTCGGGCCCCGTGCAAATGTTTACACCGGGCCGGCCGCCAGGCCCCGCGCGCGGGGGAATGTAAACGCGGGCTGGGGCCGCCCGGCGGGGCAGGGAGCTGCTCCCACGAGGGGGAGGGGGAGGTTATTGCACACCTACTGTGTGCACGGAGCACCACTCTGCCAGGCAGTCGCAGCCCCGAGTCGTCGGTGTCCCAGTGAGGGACGATGCTCAGGGCTTTGTGCGGGCCTGGCGAGGGGTGGAGGCGGGCGAGCCAGGGAGGGCTTCCTGGTGGAGGCGCCCTCCAAGCAGAGACTGAACGGGGAATGGGAGAGGGGAGGGAGAGGAGGAGAGAGTGTTCTGGAAGGATGGGCTTGTGCCAAGGCTGGAGGGGGGGATCGAGCGCAGCTTTGATCCATCCTGCGCCCCATCTAGGAATCTGTCTGTCTGTCTGGAGGGGAAACCCCGGCTCAGGGAGGAGCCGGAAGTCAGTCCATCCACAAGCAGAGAACAAAGTCTCCAGCCCGGTTCCTGCCTCCAGACGACTCTCAGCAGCCTCTCCTGCCACCTTGTCCCACAGTGCCCCCTGCTGGGACGCCCTCAACTCCCTCCACTCTTCCCCCAGGATCACCCGGCTGCAGCCACCCCAGCCTCTTGGCTGCATTGGCCAAGCTTGGTCGGGCCTCAGGACCTTTGCACTGGCTGTTCCCCCGTGCCTGAGATGCCCTTCTCTTCTGCCTGGCCCACTCCTACCTTTGTTCGAGTCTGGGCTCCCCTGCAACCTCAGGAGAGCACTCTGGGACCCCCAGAGCGGGGTGGTTTCCCGGTTCCCCCTGGCACGGCGCCCACCCCCTCCTTGACAGCGTTTTTAACAACCTTGTTCCGTGGTTCCTCGATGAATCATTTCTACGTTATTATTGATCATTAAGCAGGAGCGGTTCAAAATCGGGGGGCCCGTGCGCCCCCCCACCCCGTGCCTGGCCCGGCGCCCCATGCCCGTTGCTTGCCTGACGCACAGACGGAGGCCGTGTGGCTGACCACCGCGCGCCCGCAGGCCGAGGATGCAGCGCTGGAAGGCGGCGGCCTTGGCCTCGATGCTCTGCAGCTCCGTGCTCTCCGTCTGGCTGTGTCGCGACGGCCTGCTGCTCAGCCGCCACCTGGGCCCCGCGCTCACCCCGCTGCGCCGGCCGCCGCGCACCCTGGACGCCCGCATCGCGCGCCTGGCCCAGTGTAAGCGCTCCCCCTTCTCTGGGGCGGGACACCCCCAGCTTCGGGGCCACCGTCATGGCGGCCTTGCGCTCCCTGGAGCGGGGACCCAGAGGCGTCTTTAGATGCGGGGCAGGGAGGGTGCAAATCCCCTCACAGCCTGGCAGGGGTGGCGGGGTGGCGGGGGGAGGGGGGGAGACACGGGATGGCTGCTGGGGACCTGGGGTCTCTCGGCTCAGCTGTCACGAGGAATTAGGCTCTGGCCCTGAGGGACCAGGGGGGCCAGATGGGGATTAGACCTGGGCGTCCGGCCCAGGAGGCCTCGCAGCGCAGCGGGGGGTGGGGGGAAAAGGGAGGCCGGACCTGGTGACCTGGGCCCCTGGGACAGGGACCGAGAGGGAGAGCCCTAGAAATGGGGAAAGGTGCAGAGATAGTGAGGCGCAGAGACCAACGGGGACAAGGGAGGGACAGACGGACGCGGGAAAAGGCAGGGAGGCGAGAAAGTGGAAATGCCCACCCGAGGGGGCGTGGCCGCCCGAGCCCAACTCCCCACTCGCCCCTGGTGCCCGCCCTCTGCTGCTTCCCGGAGGCCAGGGCAGTGCGCGCCCCCCCCACCTCATGCGTGTGCGCGCGCACGTACCCACCGCTGGGGTCTAGGTGCGGGCGGGGCACGTGCATGGCGCCCGCGGGTGGGGGCCCCGTGCACGCTGTGTGCACGCCTGCGTGCACGCCCGCGCCCTTCCTGTCGGCCCACACAATCCTTCTTTCTTGTCTTCACAATGGACAAGGGTGGCCTCCGGCGCGGGCTCCGCTTCCGGCAAAGCCCTTCCCAGGACAGTGGGTCCCAGAGACCCGGGTGGGGCTCCCCCAAAGCGAGCGCTCCAGGACCTGGGGGGCTGACAAAGCCCCAGGGGTGGAATGTCAAGCGCCGGGGCCCACGGGCAGGTGCCTGCCTGCCCTGCATCCTGTGCCCGGGGCCCAGCCCTTCTGGAAAAGGGAGTGGCTGCTGATCCCCAAAAGTCACCGTGTTCTGGGCCCCGGGTGACGGTGGAATTTCAGGCGGGGGGCGGCGGGCGGGTCTCATCTGTGTGTTCCAGACCCTGAGCGAAGGAGGCAGACACAGATAGACCGAAGGACCGTTCGCTGTTGATCTGAAATTCAGATTTGACCAGCCATCTGTATTTTATCCGCCAACCCACCCCCTAGAAACGCACCTTTCGGGTGGGCACCAGAAGGAAGCCAGGCTCCAACCTGACCCCCCCGCCCAGAGCAGACGCTGCCGGCCACCCTAGTCCTGCCCCTGGGCGTCGAGGAGTCGCCACATGCTGTTCAGTCGCCCCTCTCCCCACCCTTTCCGGTTTCCCAGCCTCAGCCAAAGGGGGGGGGGGCTCGGCAAGCCTCAAGAGCAGACAGGGAAACTGAGGCACGGAGCGGGATCATCACTGGCCTGAAGTCGTGCAGGGCTGAGAGGGGCAGAGGGGCGGGGCTCAGAACCGGGGTTTGTCTGCTTTCTGAGACACCCCCCCCCCCGTGGGAATAGACACCCCCCCAGGGCGACAGACGGCCCCTCCCCCCGGGGCCTCCCAGCAAGCAGAGTCTTTTGACAGCCAGGTGCGCCAGCCTTGGGGGCAGGGGGGCGCTGAACTCAGGATTTCCTCTCGGCCACAAGTGACTGCCACCTGCTGGGGGGCCGGGAGACCCCCGCCCGCGGTTCGCTGTCAGCGCTGCCTGCCGTCCCCGCCCCTGCTCGTCTCTCCTGGGGCGGCGGAGATCTGGGGCCGGGCCAGCCGCTTGGGAAATAAATTTAGGCTGCGGGGGCCTGGGAATCTGGGACTCGGGGCATCCCCGGCTACCGTGGGAGAAGAGGCCTGGACGCGGGCCACACTCGACCTTCTGGGGCCCTCTTTGCCCACCTGTAACATGGAGGTGGCCCTCACAACAGCAGCTGCCACCCCCTGCGGGGGTCGGGGGCAGGGTGGGGGTGGTCCCCCAACACAGGCCTCAGTGCCTGCTGCTCCTGTGTGTGTCTTGAGAAGCCCCAGCACTCCCATTGGGTTTTGTGGCTGGGGAAACTGAGTCCCGCTTGCCGGTGGAGCAGCAGGGACCGAGTTGGGGGCGGGGGGGGGGGGATGTGAACAGCCCAGCGGCTCAGAGAAGATGTGGGGGCTTTGGGTGGGGACCCCAGAGAGTGAGCTAGAGACCTGGGACAGCTTAGCTAAAGGGGGACGGGTTGGGGTGTGGGAAGCAGCCCCCCCGACACTGTTCAGAGAGGGCGTGCCAGTGCCCTAGGGCAGCCCAGCCTAGGAATGGGGGCGCAGAGGGTTGGGGGAGGTGCTCAGAGGGAGGGAGACACCCGGGTCAGCTCAGGCCAAGGTGGGGCAGGCTGGAAAGTGGTCCAGGGCACCCACAAAGGGTAAGCCAGTTTCTGAGCAGCCCAACCCGGGGGCAGGGTCCAGAGAGGGGGTGCTGGTAGCCCTGGGGGCCCAGCGCGGGGTCTGGACGTGCACGAGAGGGTGGGGCCTGGGCGGGAAGCTGGGAGCGAGCGGAGCACTGACCCCCCCCTTCTCTCCCTCCCCTCGCAGACCGTGCCCTGCTGCAGGGCGCCCCGGACGCCGTGGAGCTGCGCGAGCTGACGCCCTGGGCCGGGCGGCCCCCAGGTCCGCGCCGTCGGGCGGGGCCCCGGCGGCGGCGCGCGCGTGCGCGGTCGGGCACGCGGCCGTGCGGGCTGCGCGAACTCGAGGTGCGCGTGAGCGAGCTGGGCCTGGGCTACGCGTCGGACGAGACGGTGCTGTTCCGCTACTGCGCAGGCGCGTGCGAGGCGGCCGCGCGCGTCTACGACCTGGGCCTGCGGCGCCTGCGCCAGCGGCGGCGCGTGCGGCGGGAGCGGGTGCGCGCGCAGCCCTGCTGCCGCCCGACGGCCTACGAGGACGAGGTGTCCTTCCTGGACGTGCACAGCCGCTACCACACGGTGCGCGAGCTGTCGGCGCGCGAGTGCGCCTGCGTGTGACCCTACCTCACCCGGCCCGGCCCGCCGGCGGCCACGCCCCCCCGCCCCGACGGCGCGCCCGGCCGGCTCGCGACAGACTGCCCATGCGCAGGAGATGCCCTCGGGGCCTCGGGACTCTCGCGATAACCGTGCCGAGATAAAGCGGTGGAAAATCGAGCCCGCGTGGTGATTCCGCGCTCCCGGCCGCGGGAGGTTGAGGGTAGGGTGGTGCCTGCCTGTTGGGGGTTGGGGGCGCCATCTCCACCGGGAAAAGGGGCACAGGTGCGGGGACCACCTGTAGGATGGCGGGAGCATCCCATTTACTTTGGGGGTAAGGGAGAGTAGGTGCAGAGGGTCTCGTTTCCGGGGGACAGCACGGAAAGTGGGGTGAATGGGGGCAGTGTCGGCAGGGACCGTCCCTCCCACCTGCCCTGTGTCCCTTCCCGGCGTGTCCCATGCCCACCTTCCTGCAAGGTGTGCTCCTGCGGAGGGAAGGTGGAGTGAGTCGCTCTGCCGATGAAGAGACTGAGGTCCAAGTGGACCCAGGCCTCGCCCACCAGAGGGGCCCCTCAAGCCGGGTCAGCACCCCCTAGAGTGAACTCGGAGCCACTATCTCGTTTCACGAGCTAAAAATATACGCGAGCGGCCCATCTCCCTGTAGGGACGGGTGTGGGGCGGGCGCCAGCCCCGTCTAGCCGGATCCCAGGGCACAGCTGGGTCCCCAGGGACCTGGGTCCTGGACCATAAAAGCCCTGACCGGGGCTCCGGGGGAATTTACGACGAGCCCCGTGGAGGATGGAAAAAGCGCGGGCGCGCTGCTTGGACTCCGCGGTGTCACCTTGACGCTTGGCAGGCCCCTCGGCACCGGGGGAGGGTTCCCAGGGCGCGGGGAGGGGTCGGCGGGTCCCACGGTCTGGGAGGGGCCGGGAAGGGGGGCGCTGCGCCCCCGGGGGGGACCCCTCCCCTCCTGCCACCCGGCCTGGGCTCCTTCCCGCCTTTGCTGTGCCCCCCACGTCTGAGCTTCTAAAGGCCACGTCCCTCCCAGACCCCATCCCCACCTCCCCCGGAGCTGGGGCGCCCCCATCAGAAGCTGTCCCGGGGTGGGCGGGGACCACCCGCCCCCGCCTGCAGCTGGACACACTAGAGGCAGCTAACGGGCGGGACTTCCAGGGCCCCAGCCCGTGGCTGGTCTGCATGGAAGGTGGCTTCAGAGCACAGGCTGCCTGGGGTCCCTGCCCGCGCCCCCGGAGTCCCCTGACTCTGAGGTTTGGGGTGGCGGGTTCCTCCACCATCGGGGCTGACTCCACCCAGCGTGGCAGAGAGGCCAGAGTCCCCTGCTGCTGCGGAAGCCAGGCCTCAGTTTCCCCATCCTCCGTGGCCCTGAGCCTCCAAGAGGGAAGTCGCTCAGCCCAGGATGTGCAGTAGGGACACTGGCCTTGGAGACCAGGTCGGTGGCCCCTGAAGCTTGGCTGCCTCAGTGTGTGTGTGTGAGTGTGCATGTGAGTGTGTGTGTGTGTATGTGTGTGCGTGTGCCCTTCCCGGGCCTCCCAGGACCTCGGCCCCCCGGTCTCCCCCCCCAGATGTGACATCACAACCACAGGACGCTGGCCCGGCTGCTGGAGAATTGGAACGTAAACAGAGCTGTCCCCACAGATCCCTGCACCCGGGTTTCCCAGCCCACCACACCCCTCCACACACACTCACACACACATACAGACACACACACTCTCACACACAGACACACACACAGGGCACAGAGACTGCCACCCGCTTGGGGCTTTGCAGACGGGGTCCCACGCAGCCCCCGGCCCGCAGGCTTGCACACTCAGTCATCATTCACACTCAGAATTGCACACTCACAGGGCACCCTCAAAGCTGTGGCTCGTTGCAGAAGTGCACACTCTCCCCCATTGTCCTCCTTCATGGGGGTCCCTGCCCGTCCTCTGTCCCTGGGCCCCTCTCCCGGCCCTGCCCACACTGACCCCCAGGCAGCCCGGCCCCACTCGCCGGCCCCTCTGCGCCTGCTCCCCCCGCCCTGCCTGAGGGGCTTGGCTTCCGGAGTTTTCCACCTCCTGACATGGGGGCTGGACCATTCCCCATTGTGAGGGGCTGAGCAGCATCCCCAGCCCCACCCACTCAAAGCCATCAGCCCACGCCCAGCGTGACAACTACGGATGTCCCCAGACAGGGCCGAGTGTCCCCTGGGGGGCACAGTTGCTCTGGGGCGAGAACGCAGTTCTAGAATGAGGGAGGACACGGCAGTTTTCCTCGGAGCTTTCCCACCTGGAAAGGGACCCAACAGGGCCAGCCTGCCTCCCCATGGGCCGGTAACAACAGCAATGGTGACTACAGGCACGCCCACCACAGCCGGCACCAGCGGCCGGGACCCGAGGCCGCTTCCCCAGGGCGAGCGCCTGGGTGGGTGAGGGCCAGCAGCCGAGGTCCCCGGCAGATGATGTCCCCGGCAGATGTGGTCCCCGGCATGTGAGGTCCCCGGCAGGTGTCATCCTGGCAGGTGAGGTCCCCAGCAGGTGTCGTCCCCGGCAGGCGAGGTCCCTGGCAGGTGTCATCCTGGCAGGTGAAGTCCCCAGCAGGTGTTGTCCCTGGCAGGTGAGATCCCCAGCAGGTGAGGCCCCCCCAACCCCCAGCAGGTGAAGTCCCCAGCAGGTGAGGCCCCCGGCAGGTGTGGCCCCCTGCAGGTGAGGTCCCCAGCAGGTGAGATCCCCGACAGGTGTGGTCCCTAGCAGGTGAGGCCCCCCCCAACCCCCAGCAGGTGAGGTCCCTGGGGGGTGAGGTCCGTGGCAGGTGGGGTTCCCCAACCCCCAGCAGGTGAGGCCCCTGGCAGGTGTGGCCCCCGCAGCCCGGGCCGCAGGCGGGCGGGCTCAGGTGAACCAGGCGGCGAGGCTGGGCGCCGTTTTGTAGGTGGCCTCCTGCTGCAGCCGCCAGCAGGCCTTGCAGAACATGAGCGCCCAGCTGGAGGAGCGCGGCCGCAGCGTCTCCCGCCAGCGGAAGTAGCTCAGGTAGCGGCCGTCGTCGCGGTCCAGCGCCAGCAGGTACTGGGCCAGCTCCCTGGGGCTCTGGAAGTCGTCGATGTGGATGAAGGCGTCGGGGGGCAGGAACTGCTCATAGTTGCTCCGGCTGGGGCCCAGCACCACGGGCACGGCCCCGGACATCAGGGCGTTCCTCCACAGCTTCTCCGTGATGTAGTCGGGGTGCACGGAGTTCTCGAAGGCCAGGTAGAACTTGTACCGGGCCAGGTGCTCCAGCATCTTGTCGCCGCGGGGCAGCGGCTCGTGGGAGCGCCCGTACACGTGCACTTTGAGATGCTCCCGCAGGGTCTCGTAATACCGCACCCTCACCGAGGTCGGCTTCCAGTTGGACACTGCCCAGGCCGCCAGCTCGGTCTTGGCCGAGAGGTTGACCGCCGCCTCGGCGGGCGGGCCGCTCCAGGGCTCGAGCCAGCCGTAGGGCGTGAAGATGTCGGAGTCTCGGCGGTAGGACATGGTGAGGTTGAAGTACCCGTCCAGCTCCTTCAGGTGGGGAGAGTGGTCGGGCGGTTCCATGTTGAACCAGACCCAGCGCTGCCCGGGGGGCCGTGGGGAGGGCGGGAGCTGCTGCCGGGGCCTGGAGCTGACCTCCCGGTGATGCACGAGGACGGCGTCCGCCTGCGGGTACAGGCTGCGGTTGAGAGTCAGCTGGCAGTCGGGGGTGCCGGGCCACAGCTCCGAGCAGCGGGACAGGGCCACCGGGACGTGGAAGGGCCAGGTCCAGAGCAGGAGAAGCAGGGGCGGGCGGGCCGGGGGCCCCGCAGTGGCCTGGTAGTGGGTCCCCTTGGACGACCCCGGCTCTGCCGACCCCGTGGGAGCTGTGCTGACAGACTCGACTGCGGTGGCCCCGGACTTAGTGGGCCAGAGGAGCTTGTCTGGGGACACGCGCAGGTAGGAGAAGAAGCACAGAGCCAAAAGGAACTGCAGGAGCAGCCCGAGGACGCAGTGGCGCAAGGGGCATTGTATCTTGGCCCGGCTGAGTGCATCCATGGGTCCGAGCAGCTGGGGGAAGGGGAGAGTGGAGACAGCATCATTGATAACAAAAGTAATAACCCACGCGTGGGGGGCCACCATGGGGGACCCCAGTTACTATTCATGGGTCCCGAGGTGGACGCTGTTAGGGCACCAGTTTTACAGATAAGAAAACTGAGGCCGGGTGTAAAATATCACGATGACTTTTCTACTGATTTCACATTGAAATAATACTAATTCGGATCTATTGGTTTAAAGAAAGTGAATTATTAAAATGAACCTCACCTGTGTCTTTCACTTTTTCTTTTTTTGGGCGAGGAAGATTGGCCCTGAGCTAACATCTGTGCCAATCTCCTTCTATTTTGTATGTGGGATGCCGCCACAGCATGGCTTGATGAGTGGCATGTAGGTCCGTGCCCGGGATTCAAATTAGGGGCCCTCTCTGTGACAGAATACTACGCAGCTGTGAAAAATGAATAAGGCCGCTGTGTTGGCCCAGATCCGCTGACACATCTATATTTTGGGAACTTCTCCAAGAAACAGCAAAGAAGTCCAGGCTTAGATACGGAAACAAAGCTTTTTTTTCTCTTTAAAATTATTTTATGGCGGTCATATTGGTTTATAACATTGTGTCATTTTGGGCGTACATTATTACATATCCGTTTCTGTATAGACTGAATCATGCTCACGACCAATAACCTAGTTTTTATTTGTCACCATATAGATGTGCCCCTTGGCCCCTTTTCCCCTCCCACCCTCTTCCCCTCTGGTTCCCGCCAATCTGTCCTCTTTATCCACGTGCTCGTTTATAGATACAGAAGCAAATCCTTATTTAGCTTAAGCTTCAGCTGATTCATGGTGAATGCACCTCTGCCTGGAGCAAAGCAATTCCCAGAATTAAACAGTTTGGGCTCAGGGCTGGCCCGGTGGTGCAGCGGTTAAGTGTGCATATTCCACTTCAGTGGCCTGGGGTTCATCGGTACAGATCCCAGGTGCGGACATGGCACCACTTACCAAGCCATGCTGTGGTAGGCGTCCCGCATAGAAAGTAGAGGAAGATGGGCACGGATGTGAGCTCAGGGCCAGTCTTCCTCAGCCAAAAAGAGGAGGATTGGCAGCAGATGTTAGCTCAGGGCTAATCTTCCTCAAAAAAAGATTAAAAAAGAAAAAATAGTTTGGGCCAAACCTGAGCTGTCCAAGTTGGGAGCCACTAGCCCCACGGAGCGACTGACACTTGTCATGTGGCTAACGCAACAGGGGACTGAAGTTGTAAATGTTACTAAATTTCACGTGTCTATTTAAACAGCGTAAACACATTTTTTTTTTTAATTAAATACAACTTTACTGTTTGGGGAGGAGCCCATTTCACTCTACCCAGGGAAAATTTAGCGTCCAAACAGAGATGTTTAAAGTGTTAAATACACCGCAGAATTGCAAGACTTCGTATGAAAGAAAGAATGTAAAATATCCATTGATCACTTTCTATATTGATTACATGTGGAGATAATGCTTTGGGTGTATCTGGTGAGATAAACTGTATCGTTAAAATTCATTTTGCTGGTATCTTTCGGTTCTTTTTAATGTGGCTGCTAGAAAACTGAAAATTAGAAATGTGGCAGAAAAAAGTTTGGTGATTCCTCAAAAAGCTAAACGTAGAATTGCCATATGGCCCAGTAATTCCACCCCTGGGGGCCTCCCCAGAGGAAGCGACAGCAGAGACCTGAACAGATCTTGGGCGTCTGTGCTCACAGCAGCGTGATTCATGCAGCCAAAAATTGGAACATCCCAAATGTCCATCGATGGATGATGGACGCACCCAGTGTGCTCCGTCCACAGCCTGGAATATTACACAGTCATGAAAAGGAAGGAGATCCTCACACCTGCTCCAACGTGGAAGGACCCGGAGGACGTGATGCTCAGGGACGTGAGCCAGACACAGAGGGACACACACTGTGTGGTCCACTCACAGGAGGTCCCCGGAGGAGCCACATCCACAGAGACAGAAAGTGGATGGGGGGCCAGGGGCTGGGGGAGGGGTGAGGAGTCAGTGTTTCATGGGGACAGAGCTTCCGTTTGGGAAGATGGAAAGTTCTGGAAATGGATGGAGGGGATGGTGGCACAACCATGTGAATGTGCTTCGTGCCACTGAGCTGTGCACTTAAAAATGGTTAGAATGGCAAATTTCGTGTCATATATATTTTGCCACAATTAAAAACAATAACGCGATAGAGCAAAACCCAGTGAATTGTGCACTTTACATGTATGAATTGTGCGGGACGTGAATTCTGTCTCAATGAAGCTGTTTTGAATAAACGATCTCAGTGGCTGGCAGGCCCCTCTCACTGGCAGAGCTGGCACGGGCCTCCGGGTGTAGAGTGCAGGACCTGGCAGGTGGCCTTGTGTGATGCAAAGGGAGTGGGATGTGGAATTAGGTGTTCACGCCAACGTTACGTTTCTGGAAACAGACTCAAAAGACAGGCCTTCGGGACAGCCACATGCCAAAGAATGGAAGTAGACCATTATCTTACGCCATACACAAAAATTAACACAAAATGATTAAAGACTTGAATGTAAGACCTGAAACCATCAAAATCCTAGAAGAAAACACAGGCAGTATGCTTTTTTTTTTTTTTTTTTTTGGAGGAAGATTAGCCCTGAGCTAACATCTGCCACCAATCCTCCTCTTTTTTGCTGAGGAAGCCTGGCCCTGAGCTAACATCCATGCCCATCTTCCTCTACTTTATATGTGGGACGCCTACCACAGCATGGTGCGCCAAGCAGTGTCATGTCTGCACCCGGGATCCGAACCGGCGAACTCCGGGCCGCCGAATTGGAACGAGCGCACTTAACCGCTGCGCCACGGGGCTGGCCCAGCAGTAACCTCTTTGAGGTCCGTCTTAGCAGTAACTTTTTGAATATGTCTGCTAAGGCAAGAAACCGAGGAAAAAATAAACCAATGGGACTACATCAGACTAAAGAGCTTCTGCACAGCAAAGGAAACCACAAACAAAACAAAAAGACAACCCACCAACTGGGAGAAAATGTTTGCAAATCACATATCCGACAAGGGGTTAATTTCCGAGATGTATAAAGAACACATACAACTGAACAAGAAAGAAACAAAAAAATCTAATAAAAAATGGGTAGAGGATCCGAACAGACATTTTCCCAAAGAAGATGTACAGATGGTCAACAGGGACATGAAAAGATGCTCAACATCAGTAATTATCAGGGAAATGCACATCAAAACTGCAATGAGAGACCATCTCACACCCGTCAGAATGGGTGTAATTGACAAGACAGGAAACAACAAACATCAGAGAGGATGTGGAGAGAAGGGAACCCTCGTACACTGCTGGTGGGAGTGCAGACGGGGGCAGCCACTGTGGGAAACACTATGGAGATTCCTAAGAAAATTAAGAACAGATCTACCATATGATCCAGCTGTCCCACTGCTGGGTATTGATGCAAAGAACATGAAAACGCTAATTCAAAAAGATAGACGCATCTCTGTGTTCATCGCAGTATTATTCACAATAGCCAAGATGTGGGAGCAACTCAAGTGCTCGTCTATGGGTGAATGGATAAAGAAGATGCCCAATAGGTGATGTACAGTGGAATACTACGCAGCCATAAAAAAGATGAAGTCGTGCCATTTGTGCCGACGTGGATGGACCTTGAGGGCACTATGCTGGGCGGAATAAGTCAGCCGCAGGAAGACAAATACTGTATGATTTCACTCGTATGTGGAAGATAAACAAACGCACACACGTACAGACAGAGAGCAGATTGGTCACCAGAGGGGCAGGTGGGGAGGGGAGGGGGGGAAGGACCACATGTGTATGATGACGGATGAAAACCAGACTTTTGGTGGTGAACACGATGCTATAGGGCGAGAAACTGAAACATAACGACGTACACCTGAAATCACACAATGTTACAAACCTCACACTGAGGTCACAATTTGACCTCAATAAAATAATTAAGAAAGAAAAAAAAGAAGAAACAAAGGACAGGACTTCGAGGAGGCAGCCCGAGGCCAGAGCGGGAGGGACGCTGAACTTTGACCACCTGCCATCTCGCGCCCTTGGGCTTTGGGGCCACGCAGAAAAAGTCAATGTGTTGAAATGCCGTGAAAATGAATGTCCTGCATCCTGCTGGATCCGGGCCCCGAGGGTAGCGCAGTGCCTCCTAGGAGACCCGGACGCCCCGGGCAGGGGCCTTGAGGAGCGCAGACTAAGGGGAGGGGATCCCCCCCAAGTTGAACCCAAGATCCTTTTTCCTAGGAAACGATTGAGAAATGTCACTGTCCTGGGACATCCCAAAGAGTTTTTTAAAAACCCTTCTGTGTCCCAAGTCGGTCCAGAGTCAGGGGGACGGGGGGCCCTGGGGGCCGACCGTGGGACCGCTAACTCGGAACCTCGCCAGGCAGAGAGGGAAGTGCTCGGTTCCTCCCGGTGTGGCCCTGAGTCCCACCGCCCACTCACGTCTGGGCCACCAGGGCGCCCAGGAGGGACCCTGCCGGGGACTGAGGCGGCTGGCAGAGTCCGGGCCGTGCCACCAGCCGGCGGACGGACCCTCGGCTGTCTGTCCTGCACCAGCGCCAGCCGCCAGGTGAATGAAGGTGACAGGATGGGGCAGAGAGGAGAGGGCAGCCCAGCCCCGAGGCCCTTCCCAGGGGGCACCCGAGGCTCTGGGGGGGGTCCATGCGCCCCTCAAGGTCTTACCTGGGGGCAGCGCACAGTTGACCGGGAGGTTTGGGACCGCCGTGGGCTGGTCTCCCGAGATGTGGATAAGGCGGGACTGGGGAAGAGAAGGAAGTGCACCTGCAGGTGGAGCACGGCTGGGTCCAGCCCACACCTGTCATCAGGTGACCCAGGGTGTCCCGTCCCAGGCCACCGTGCCAAAGCCAACTGTGGGGCTCCCCTCAGCGTTTGCCATCAGACCAGGCAGGGCGATGCAGGAAGCTGGAAACGGGAGTCACCGCCCTGGCCTCACCTGTGACCTCCGGGCCTGGGTGGCATACCCTTGACTCATCCATAAAGTGAACAGGCCAACCCAAGTCCTCAGTTCTCAAACTGGGTTCCGCGGCATGGCCCCAGGGCTTCCTTGGGGGTGGGGATGGGCAGGTGGGCAGAATTTCAACCCTCCCTCTTTCACTTCCAGCAGATCCCACCCCCATGTCTTGAGTACCTGCCACGTGCCAGGCCCCAGGGATAGGGCCAGAAGCAAACAAGACAGATAATACATAAGGAAACTCATAAATGATCATAAGATGCTTATTTGCAAAAAGTGAGGAAGGTGTGGCCTGGTCTAGGCTTCCTGGATGTGTGAGCTGTGAGCTAAGACCCCACAGGAGTTCTGGAGTAAAAAGGAGGAGGGAAGAGCTTTCCAGGCCCTGGGAACCACCTGTGCAAAGGCCCTGAGGCAGCGAGGAATGGGGGAAATTCCGTAAGCCTGGGTGTTCACGAGCAGGAGATGAGGTCAGGACTGGCACTGAGGCCAGGCCACATTGAGCTCGTCCAGCTGTGGTCAGTGACAGAGCCTGTAACACGAGGGCCATAGGGAGCCACTTGAGGCCCCCAGCAAAACAGATGCCACCTCAACTCCTGTTTTGAGAGGCTCTCTCAGGCCACCACGTGGGGGACAGGCTATCGGGGGGGCAGAAGAGGCAGGGACGCCGAGGAGGAATAGGCTGCTGCAGGCGGCCCAGAGCCCCAGGTCCAGACCTCAGGTGTCACCACTTCCCTGTTCCTAGACCAGAAACTTCCATGAGGCCACTTCTGCGGCCGGGGGTCCCAGCATCGGAGTGGCCAGCTGGTTCCAGGCCGGTTCTGGGGGGCTGGGGGTCTCCCAGGGCGGGGCATTCACAGACTGGCCCCAACCTCCTCGGAGCTCACGCCCGGCTGGGTGGCACGATCTGGTGACTTGTTACAACAGTACTCATGGAGCTGCCTGGCATGATGTCACTGTGCCCAGGACCTTCAGCCTCCCCACGGTCACCCTGCTGATGTGGAAATTGAGGTCCAGAGATGAGGAATTCTTTGCCCCCCGCGACCCTGTTAATCCCTGGTCATCCTTCAGGGCTCAGTGTAGACACCTCCTCCAGGGAGCCTCCCCGGATGCCTCACCGCTGGACCAGATCCCTCCTCTGGTTCCCACAGCTGCTCGTGTGCCCCCATCATAACACTGGCCACACTATGTCGCTTCCCCCACTGGGCTGATAACCCTGCGAGGACAAAACAAGCTGGAAGAGCAAGAGAGCGGGGAAGAGAGAGTAAGAAATTGGGTTGTATCTCAAGGATTGGGAAGACGTCAAAGCAGGTCTCTAGTGGAGGGCGACAGGGCTCTGCCTATTCCACATTTGGTTCGGCTGGCTATGTCTGCAAGTGTGTTGGGTTGGGCCCCTGGTCCTGCCTCTTACCGCTGAGGGGCCTGAGGCTGGTGTCTGCCCCTCTCGGAGCCTCCATCTCTCCCCTCTATGACACTGGGCTCATGCTAGCACCTCTGGGGGCGTTCACTGTTACTACCTCCAGAAGGAATGAGCTCCCCGTCGAGGGCAGCATCCAAGCAGGATGGCTATGCTGTGGAAGGATGCTCTCTGAGATGTCCCAGAGGAGCCAGGAGGGGCTTTATCTGCCCTGGGGCCAGGCCACGAAGCTTCCAGGACAACTCCTGAGGGGCCGGGACTGCAGCAAGGGGGCGGCCCCCCGTGATGCCCCTCTGCCCCCTGCTTCTGGGCCCTCTGGTTCCGATCCACTTGTCCCCGTGGAGCCAGATGGGTGGTGGGGGCGCTGTCCATGGGGGTTCCCCCCCCACAACTGCACCTCAGGACCCCGAGATGCCCGTGGTCCCCAGGGACTCAAGCCGCCTGTCACCAGGTCGTGGGCAGGGTGTGGGCTGGGCAGAAGGGACGGACAGGGGTTTTTCCACACATCAGACCCCCAACGCTGCCTGCCTGAGCCTCCCCCAGGTCCACCTCGGCCGGAGCTGAGCCCCCCAGGACAGCTGGATGGCCGGGCTGGCCTCGGGGACGGTGGCCCTGGGGTCAGGAACTGTAGCCACGCTGAGCCCCGACCCCGAGGGAGCCCCCGACCCCGGCTGTGCCCCGCGGCAGAGGAGAAGCTGGCCATGGGGCTCGTGGGGGACATTGGGCTCCCCGTCATTGCAATGCTGCCCACCCGCACCCTCCCCGCTAGGTCCTGTCGCCCCACAGGTCCCGGCAACGAAGCCCATGCGTGTGACAGGGCGAGACACAGGGAGAAGGGGTCAGGTCGCCTCCTGCCACCCAAACTGCCTCAACTGGAACTGTGGCAGAGCTGGCTCTGTCCTGACCCCATGTCACTCCCCGCAGCCCAGGGCGCACCTGACCCCGCCCGCGCCTGGCTCCCTCTGCCGGGAACACCCTCCCCGCCCTGACCTCTTGCTTCTCGGGGTGTCATCTCCTCCGGGGGTTCGCTGGTCATCCTGCCTCTCCCGTCAATTAGTTTTATGGCCTCCAATGACCATAGTTTTATTTCAGACTTTATTGGCATTGTCTGCTTCACGCAGCTGGGAAGTGCGGGTGGGGCTGGGGGTGGGTTTGGGATCTGACCCCAGCCCTCCTGGCCTCGGGGTGTGCAGCTGGACCAACTGCTAGCCCCTGGGGTCCAGCCTTTGGGGACCTGAGGACCGCCCCCTGCCCAAAGCCAGAGGGAGCAGGTGGTTGTCCTGAATTTGCTGTGTGACCCAAGAGCCTTCCTGACCCTCTCTGGGCGAGGCTCACCTGGCCAATGCCAGGCAGGGCCTCTTTGGAAGGAAGCTGGGCCCTGAGCCCAGAGTGGGGGAGCTGGGGACCCCTCTCCCACAGGCTCGGGAGGAGCCGGAACCAGCGTGCAGGGGGAGGTGGGGCCACTCGCGCCCCCAGCCAGACTCTCTGCCTGCATGGGACCACGTGCCTCCATCGGCCTGGGCTGGGGGGTGACGGAGCTGCCAGCCGGTGGGAAGTTCCATCCGTCCTGGGGCCTCAAAGCCGAGAGCCAAGGGGCGGCGGGTGGCTCTGGAGGAGTGCAGGGTCCCCCCCGCCGGCGACGGGTGAGGAGTGGGCCACACATGCAATTGGAGCAAATGGCGAGGAATGGAGCTTGGGTACCGGTGGGGGCACCCCAGCGTCTCCCGATGTTGGCCCAGGTGGCAGGGGCCCGAGGAGGGTTCCCTTCCCCTCTGAGCCTCGGAGAAACTTCCAGAAAGAGGGAGACAAAGGGAGAAGCTCAGCGGGCAGACCCCAGTTCAGCTGGAGGCGGGGACCGCAGGGGCTCTGGGCTCCTCCCTGTGCAGCCCCGTCCCGGGGACCGGCCCCCCTGCCTGCAGAGGCCCGGGCCTGGCCCCCTGTGAGTGCCGGCCGCCCCGAGGCCCGTGGCCTACAGCCAGTGGGTGGGGAGGGGGCCCCAGGTGCGCGGTGTGGGTGGCAGGTGAGCGATGGGCCCCGCGAGGCTGGCTCAGGCCCGGGGTCCCCGGCGGCCTTGCCCAGACCTCCCACGTCCTCACCCACTGGTGCCCCCTCCATCCTTGGGCCCAGCCCCCGTCTCAGCCATCACCGGGATCCCCGAGTGTCCACTGTTGCAGCCAGGGAAACTGAGGCTCCGAGAATGCCTGGAATTCACCCCCTGCCCCCAACTCAGTCTCTCTAGGCATTCTCCAGGGAGCAGCAATTTCCTCCGAGCCCAGAAGGTTCTGGAATGTTCTGGAAGTCCTCATTTGATGTCAGAAGCCACCTGCGGCCCCCGAGTGGCGGAGCTGGTCTGGAGCCCAGGTGCGTGTGCCCAACTCAGAGCTCTTGACCACACGAACTTCGAGGAGCAGACTGAGCTCTGGCAGCTGCGTGACCTTGGGTGGGTTCCATCACTTCTCTGGGCCTTAGTCATCTTGTCTGCAGAGCAGAACGAACGCTGGCACCCTCTTCAGGTGACCCAGCAGGTCACAATCACCCTCTGGCACCCAGCAGGGTCTCTGCGGGGGGCAGAATTGCCGGCCTGGGTCCCTGGGCCTCAGTTTCCCCTCCCATGAGATTTTTAAGAACGCAGCCTCTCCCTGCCCGTCGTCACGGGGCTGCCTCGCAGGGAGGGAGCGGGGGAAGCTCAAAGTGACAGAAATCTGGCATCCGCGTGCCGGCCGCCCCCGGGCTGTCTTCACCGGGGCCCCTGGCACGTCGGGGTCTGCCCACCCTCGGCCCTGGGGCCCCGCTGGGTTCACGGGGCTTAAATTTCAGCCGGTGGTGGGTGAGGGGGCGGGGGGGCCTGACACGCTTCATTTTCCAATTTCTGGAAATAAAAGCGGCAGGGCCACCTATTGTGGGGCGGGAAAAAGGCTGTTGCACAACGGCGAGCGCAAACACCATCGCCGCCGAGGTGCGTCCCGCCAGGTTCCAGGACCTGTGGGGCAGGAACAAAGGGCCCTTTCTGTCGCCCTGGACAGGTTCCGCGGGGCCTGCGCGGGGCGTCTCTACAGCGGCACAGGTATTTTGCAAGTCTCGGAGAAGATGTGTTGGGACAAGGATGGAGGGGAGAGCGGATTTTGTGGGTTTGCTTTCTGAGATGCTTTTTAGGGTTTTTACGACACCTGTTCCTCCGCTGGCCAAAAACGGAGCCAGGCACGCTGGCGCCCTGGGCCCCCGGCCCGTTCCTGGCGGGGAGCGTCTGGAGATGCGCCCAGTATCTGCATCCCCCGCCTTGTCCCCATGGTCCTCCAGAGCGCGGCAATTTCCGCCTCCCCGGCCTCTCAGAAGGTTCCGGAAGTCCTCATTTACAGTGGCAAACCACCTGCAGCCACTCAAGGCCTGGCCCAGCTGCAGCCCCTGGCTCTGCCCTCGGCCTGAAGGGTGACAGGGCGGGGGATTGACCTCGGGACACGGGTAGAGCCGGACGTGGGGACGTCACGCTGCATCTTGCATCTGTCCCAGACCCCGCGGTGGCCCCGTCCATCTCAGAGGCAAAGCCCCCGGCTCTGCCCCATCTCCCCATGTGCATCCTCCCTATTCATACCCCAGGGCCTTTGCACATGCTGGTCCCTCTGCTGGGAACTCTCTCTCCCCTGATCCCCACATGGCTCCCTCAACTCTCTCTCCCTCTGGAATCACTTTATATCAAGTTGTCCCCTGCCCCACAGCCAGCACTTTCCCTCCTTCTTTCTTTTTCTTTGTAGCAATTCCTACTGTTTAACCAGATCATGTATCCGACTTATTTGCAT